CCCCACACAACCCCACATGCGCACATTCACTCATCGCCTCGCACGCATACACTTAATTCCTTCATTTCTCGGCTCACGTCCACACAATTCACCGTCCAGACAACCCTTGGCGTGAGGATCACTCCTTATTTAGGCGTTAACTCTCTATGTGCTCGTGCAGTCCTCGGCCAATCCACAGACTTTAATGTGTCACGAAGCGGTGGAATAAGGCGCTCGTCAATTTTTTGGGCATGTAGAGTTATTGGAATCATCGGAACGCTGATTTATTTTCTTTGCTGTCAATGATTAAATAAATACCTATCTATCTTGAATAGAACAAAGATATTTGTGATTGAAGGAAGTGAGGTCGCTTGGTGTCAGTGATGAAATTGGTGAGAAAATGGCCACCAAAGTTTGGTTACCTCAATTCTTAAAAGAGTCTTTGAGAATAGAAAAAAATGACTCTGATTTTGTGTCATTAATCAATGTTTTTCAGTAAAATTCTAACGGAAATGTTTTGTTTTTTTTATATATGGACGTAAATGAGGTTGAGCCAAAAATAAAAATTCGATAAACATTTGCAAAACTTCGGGAAAATGCCTGTTTCACCAATTTCTGTATTTTGACGAGCGCTTGATTTCACCACGCTGCCTCACAAATGCAATTTCTCCCGGCATGAGGGGTCGGAGGGGGGTGGGAGGGGGGAGCGGGAGGAGGGGGAGGAGGGGGAAGAGGGTTTAGCTCAGTGTGTGCCCCCCAATCCCCCTCCCCCCCCCCCCCCCCCCGCCTCAGCGATCTTCTGGTGACTTGTGGGTAATGAGATTGTTGTCTATTGGGACTGGCCGTGTGTCGTGTCGTTACAGTCGGGGGTTTTGGTGGTGGTCGTACCGGTTTGTGGGGAGAGAGATGGAGAGAGTGGGGGTAGAGGAAGAGAGAGAGAGAGAGAGAGAGAGAGAGAGAGAGAGAGAGAGAGATAGATAGATAGATAGATAGATAGAGAGAGAGAGAGAGAGAGAGAAAGTGAGTGAGAGAGAGAGAGAGAGAAGGGGGGGGGGAGAAACGGGAGGAGGGGTAGTAGATGGATAGTGAGAGAGAGGGAGAGATAGATACATAGAGAGAGGGCGAGAGAGAGAGAGATAGAGGGAGAGAGAGTGAGATATAAAGGAGGGGGTGTAGATTGAAAGATGGAGGGAGAGAAACGGAGAAGGAGACACACACACACACACACACACACACACACACACACAGAGAGAGAGAGAGAGAGAGAGAGAGAGAGAGAGAGAGAGAGAGATAGATAGATAGATAGATAGAGAGATAGTGAGAGAGGTAGATAGATAGATAAAGGCGGGTGCTGTAGATTGAAAGATAGAGATAGAGAAAGGGAGAAAGAGAGACAGAGAAAGAGAGAGAGGTACAGATGGAAAGATAGAGGGAAAGGGGAAACAGAGAAAGAGAGGGAGAGAGAAAGAGAGAGAGAGAGAGAGAGAGAGAGAGAGAGAGAGAGAGAGAGAGAGAGAAAAGCATAGAGAGGGAAAGAGAGAAAAAGATAGAGAAAGTGGAGAAGGGAGGGAGAGAACTACAGACTTACTTTTGACTAAGTACTGTGGACCCCCTTGCACAGTTTTTAACTAAAAGTGGGTGGTTGGCGGGTGCTCTGATGTGGTTTGCTCCTTTTTTCCTATCAAACATCCATCATCCTTATATCCCCTTCTTCTTGTTTATGCTTGTTACTCTCTTGTAACTCCTTTAATCTTCTGGCGCTCATATGACCTTATACAGTTGCAAGCGCCGTAAAACCTCTACTAAAAATAAAAACTAGCCAAAAGTAAGTATATTTCTCCCCCCCCCCAATCCCCAGGGCTTGGGTTATAATTAGTGCCAGCCCCGGGGTATTGACCACCATAAGTCAATTGAGTCAACAGAGGCAGTCACGAGCCGAAAGTACTGACGCCACCTCGTTTCCATTGCACCGATCTCACTGACTGACTGTTGTTAGCCAACGTTCAATATTGCAGTACCAGGGACTAACGCAATCAATTCCTTTCCCGGCCTCATTATGTGACGCGTCTGTAGCGGAGATGAATAAACGTTCTCAGCTACAAACAATACTGGGCTGACGACGCGACACATTATAAGTATTCACATGACCTAAGCGCATGCACCAGAACACCATTGAATTACAATAAGAATACTGAGTATGTATCTAGCTTAAGATTATGATTATGATTATAATTTTTATTTCTGTCCATTTATCATGCATATGACTGTAAGCCTTGTTGTGAGTGCAAGCATATTATTAACATATTCTTATACACAGTATAATTGTAAATGGGCTGATTTATCAATGTCATGTTCATTCTGTGGCAGAAGAACATAGGGCTGCTTTTTCTTTCCTCATCCTTACTATAGTCATTTTTCCTCTACTTCTTTTGTATGTTTCTCACTCCTTTGTGAACTGCTATTTCCGGGGTACCTTGATAGTCGAAGCAGACTTTGTGCCTTTGAGGCTAGAGATAAGAGCAGAGTAAGCTTGATTTCTCGTTTTGACTGTTGACATCCACCCTTTGGCGCCCATATGACCTAATTAGTTTCGAGCGCCGTTAAACCTTACTAAAACTAAAGCAAACAAAAATACCTCGCTCCAACAAAGGAGTCTTACTGGACTTCTCTCCTAATGAACCATTGACGTCACGGATGTATACGCCTTTTGCTTTGTGCCCAGTAGTAAGTGTCAGTGCAGTGTTGACTCCTTGCCCACACAACCTTAATCAATTATTTATTGCATAAGTAGTCTATAGCGTATGCCTCCCTGCATCTGGCTTTCATGACTCTGAGAAGTGTAAGTATCTCCCAACTTTTGACCAGAGTCTGTGGTGTTGCGATTAAACACTTTTTTTTTTCGCCGCAAGCAGAAGATGTACGAGGGTGAGTCAAAGAGAAATGCAAGTAAATTTATAACTTAAAGAAAAAAGAACACACTTGCAACTATCATACCTCAAATTGAAGGGGAGCATCTGAGGATAAGATTTTTATTTCTCAACATAGTCTGAATTTCGTTCAATAGCCACTGTCCACCTTTTACTAAGTCCACAAATGCCAGCTTCGTAAAACTGAGCAGGTTGGTCGTAGGGGTAC